TTCCCCCCCCCCCCCAAATCACAATCTTAAATCATATTTCATTACAGTACTCCTTTTTTCTTAACAAAAATTTCACTAGTTTATGTTAAATGTTTTATCACATTTTAAATTACATATTATTTCCAATTTTCTATGGTTATTTCTAAATACAAATATAAAAATACAGTCTTATGTACCTTTCTAGAATCCCTTTATCAATAAAGTTTATCCATTATCTCAAAAACTTTTGCTTCTTAACATCTTGCTCCCCACCATTAGGGCTTCTCATCCCTTCCTTTCTCCCTTGCTTCTTCTTCTCCTTGTCCTCTTTAACCCCTTGTCTCTCCACCTCCTTTTTATTCTGTTTTCCCCCTTTCTGTTGTTTCCTAACATAATGTCCCTTTTTCACCTTATTCTTCTCTTTTTGGGTTGTTTTTCCAGATCTTAGAGTCCTCTTTTCCTTTTTCTCTTTCTTTTTCCCTTCTCCAACCAAAGTCATTTGTTCATCAAAGATGGCTTCTTCTTTGTCCCCTTCATCCTGTTGTTCATTCTGCTTCACATAAGTATAAACCGCCATTTCCAAAAATTGAAAAATAGTGCCAAGACCATCTTTCCCTTCTTGTTTTTCTTTTTCATATTTTTGATATACAAGTTTCAATCCCTCCACAAGTGATGCCATTGTGTAGAGAAAAAGTTTTTCCAGACAACCACCCAGATGTTTTGATCAAAAATAATTCTCAAAAGTTCCAAAATCACCAAACAATCCAAACAGGCTGTTTCTTTTAAATACCTTCTTCTTCTTCACTTTCTCTTTCTGCAGTTAAAGTTTGATCACAAAGTTCCCTTTCAAATATATTTTTGGAAGTCTTATTGATGTTTAGTAACTCTTTACAATTCTAGACAAACTTCTCCTTATTCTCAAATTTTGCTCCAATTTTTTTCCCTCTCCCTTCCCACTCACAGCCAAAAGGATTTTTTCCCTCCGCTGTCACTTTAGGAAGGAGAGTGGAACAAAGAAAAAAACTTTCCCTTGTAAAGTATTCGCAGCTTGTAACTCTCACTAGGGACAATACATACTTAGCAGCCTTCAAGTTTCCAGGTCACTTTCTCTTGTCTTGTCCCGGTTAGAAGCAACTTTCACTATTCTTCCGACTCTCTCCCTCCTGCACCTGCTTGTCCGGCTGCAGATTTCTTCGTGGCGGCCATTGCTGACCGCCGTTCCTCCGCCTCGGGAAAAGGGGGTTTAGCCGGCTGGGGAGGGGGTCTGCGACGCCCCCAAACCCCTTTCCGGATCCCCCCTGTCTTCAGCTGCCTCTACGGGGCAGCTATATCCCCCAGATCCAAACGGATCGGGGGAACCTTGGCGGCGAACACAGCAGGGATCGCGCTGTGTCGCGAATCCCTGCCGCCGCCGCAAGCTTGCAAACCGGAAGTGTTTTTGTTTTGTTTTTGTAAATTTTTAGAGTAGTAGCTTTGAAACAGGAGCATTCTCCCCTTCCTTAGGGGACTGGTTTCAGCCCCACTTTTATTCTATTACTTTCAACCCAGAAGTGGGTTAACCACTAGCAGAGGGGCCTTTTCAATATTTGTAGGGAAGGGGAAATATTCTCTGACTATGTTATTATTATATTATAATTACAACACGATGACTAGATTATTACTGTAATTTAATTTTGGAAAAATTGGTGTATTGTTTTTTGGGTGGGTTCAGTGTTGTCTTATTCCAAAGTTGGATTCATGTTGTTATCCAAGGAGGTCTGCATGCAATCTTAGACTGCGTTTATATGACAGTTTGTTCCAGTCTCTGATTACGTGCTTGTCTTAGCTGTCTCCAGTAAGATATATTGGGCTACATTTTCCATAATTCCAAGCCAGTAACACTGACTTGCATAAATGTTCTCAATGGTTCTTACAGAAGTAGAAGCCTAACATTCCTTGCCCTTGATTCAGTTCAAACTTGCTTTTATTTGTAAATGAATATCAGAGAAAGAATGATCTGTTTCTTCCTTGCAGGAGGTTGCTGTGAAGGAACAGCTAACAGGCAAGGGAAAACTTTATCGGAAGAGTCTCAGTTCACCAAATGTCAATCGAGTGAGTCTATAATACTAGAGCTGAAATCCTTCCAAGACATAGTTGGAAGAGGGTGAGAGAAGAAAAGAGTGGCTCCACGATGAGTTTGTAGGAACATGAGGAGCATTTCATCATCTGGTAACACCATATTGGGGTCCTACTGAAGGCATAGGAAGTATCTTCACCTTCTGGTGTACTGTTGGCCTCTATGTCTGCTCTAAGTCTTGCAGACTGAAGGCTCTGTTTGAAAGTCATGATTTTATTGTTACTCTTTCAGCTATCAGGAAGCCGCCAAGATCTAAATCCATCATACAGCCTTGCTTCTTACAAAGTAAGCGTTCAGTTTGTTATTGAATTTCTTTATTGTGTTTAAGAGGTTGCACTTTTTCAGAAAAATAGGAATTTAACTATTTGGAAAAACTGATTTTGAAAACTGCTTTACCTATTTTTGTAAGCGTTATGAGTTCTAAACTGAGGTGTTTGTTTTAACTAAGATATATGACCCAATAGGGGATGTGGGTGTTAAAAGACATAATTTATTTTATGTCAATGGTTTTATACCCAAATCACTAAGAATCAAAATTGTATTAATTGTGTTATGTGGTATTAATTTAGATTATACAGGTAGTATCATCTCAACTTACAACCACAACTGAGTCCAGAATCTTGGTCGTTGAGCAAAATGGTTATTAAATGAAATGCTTCGCAATTGCAATTGCAGTACTTCCAGATGCAGTCATTCAGTGGTCACAGAGGTTGTTAAGGGTATGCCTCAAGGAGTGGGAGCTCAGTGTAGGCCACACAAACAGGCCATGCACAAGCTGGGGTGTGTATATGTGTGTGGTGCAGTGGGGTGCAAAGTCATAGCAACCTCAGCCTACTAGCTTTGCAATGTAGCACTTGGCAGCAGCACCAGGCCCATGTCAGGGCCTAAAGTAGAGACTCGGGGGTCTCAGCACTCTCAGCCAGCTGTCACTGCCCCAAGCCTTAACTTCAGCCCTAGCACCACCACTGCAGCTGAGAAATGCTTCCCAGCTTCCCACATCTGCCTATGTCCTCCATAATGTAGGCTACCCAGTGCAGCAGCACCCAGCAGCATCACCAAGACTGAGCCTGAAATAGAGGCCTGGGGCCTTCAGCAGCCTCAGTCAGCTGCCACCACTCCAGGCCTCGATGTCAGCAGAGCCTTCTTTCATTTCTGCTTTTAATTTCTTTTTTTTTCCTCCTTTTTTTCTTTTTTTCTTTTTTTAAAGGGTAGTTTTTTTTAAAGTATGACTATTGTAATGATAAAGGGAATTATAACTTTCCTAATTTTCAGCTATATCTTTGGGCATAAATTTTGAATCAGTCTTCTAATGGGACACATGATCAAGTCCACTGTTGGTCCAGAGTTATTATGTGATTCTTTTAATATGGCAGGGGCTTGGTTCTATTTTTAGTCAAGGCCTATGTGGAAGATATTGATATTTCATAATGTAAGTTTGTTATATGAATGAGAATTCCCAGTTTGACAAATCTTTTGCTGGTAAATCTTTTGGAGGGGAAATCATGACCAAGTAGGAGTATTTATACTTTTGTTCATCTCTAGATAATTTCAAAGTCTCCTTGTTTTTTAGTGTTTGTAGTTGACTGCTGAATTCCAAAGAACCCACAAATAGTTCAAGAGTCCTTGAACAACAGCATTTTCAGCAGGAAGAATAATTCATAATCTGAATCTTCATTGGTTCCCTTTCCTTTTTTTAATGCATTTGTTTGTTTCTTAACCCTTCAACGATATCCATCCCTCATTGCATATGTTGTCTCAGTGTCCCAAGGTCGTGGCAGAGGTAACGAACTCATTAGAATTATCTAATAAACAGAATAAATACAGTATCCCTTTCTGGAGTGCTTTTTCATGGTCTTCTATGACCTAGCTCTAATCCTAACACTCTGCTTTGGATTTGCTGCCACTGTGCTTCCTTTTTTCCTCTTTGCTTCATTAACCTAGCATAAAGGTAATATTTCTGAATGTGGTGGTATGCAATCTTGGTCTGGAAATGGCCTTGGTTCTGAAGCAGAGAGCTTGCCTGCTTTATCTGAGCAGTTGGAGAGGTCTGAAATGTGTCCATAAATAGCATGCACTGGTATAGAACCATCAAAGTACGAGAAACATGAGAAAGTTATCTAAATCAAAAAAGTTAGCTATTCAGCTCAAGGAATTTACAATCTAAACTTTACTGATAAGAGAATGAAACAAACAGAAAATGAAGAATGAACATGAACTCATTCAATTGTATGCATGTTGTAATGTACACGAGGACTGCTGGATCAGGCCAGAGGCATGGCATCCTGGTTCTAATAGTAGCCAGACAGATTTCTGTAGAAACAGCACAAGCAAGACCTGAAAAGAAATATCTCTCCCATGAATTGCCCCGATAGCAGTGCAATAGAACAACTAAGAATGGAAACCAGAGTGGTGGTTATATTAGTATTTTGCAACAAGTCTGCTATCACTTTAAAAACTAACAAATGCTAACAAATGCTATTAGCATTTGTTTTTGTGGATGACAGTCCATTTTATTTCATGTATGGAGTGTAATGTGATGTATTCTTTTCTGAATATTCATCAAACCGTGTAATAGGCATTTGATAGACTGTGTTCTATGAACATCCATCCAATAATATATTTGTAAATCTTTAAAGTGGCACAAGACTCAGTGTTTCTGGGTTATATACCGATTCTCCATATATCTGCTTAATTCATTTACTTATTTAAATAATTTATTTGTTATCTTTTCATATGAGCAAGACAGTGTGCAAAAGAAAGAGAAGCCATTTAAGCATATAATCATTCCCACTTGTGTAAGTGAATTTCAGAAATTACATCACTGTAGAATGAAGTAGTGTACCTTTTTAAACTTCTATTGAATTTACAGCCGATCCATTCCAGTTGGTCTAGTAAGTATAACCTACCTTAGGGAGCCTGCAATGTGAGATTAGTTTGCTTGGCCAAATTGGCTGCTCCTGAACTGTTCTGTCCATAAATCCAGATAGGATTTATGCATTCCTATAGATGGCATTCAGTGCACATTGAAGAGTTAGAATGATTTTAGTAGATGGCTAGCTTGAAACTCAAGCCACAAGGAGGTGGTTTTTATTCATCCAGTCCTTCAGTGATGCAGTCATACATCATAAGTTTATGATGTGTCAGATTATACAGTGCAGTAGCATATACATCTGTTTTCTAACTCCTTCCAGTGTGTTTCAAGGAAAGCTTAATTCACTCTTCAGCAGAAACCACAGTTATCTGGTTTAGCCATGTTATAGTGATATAACTTGCAAACTTTTGCAAGCCATTGAATTATCAGATGATGGAACATAACCTCTTTCCCTGTGATTTTCCATTCCCAGACTGGCATAGATTCCCAGGACTTTTACTGAGTTTCCATTGCCTATTTTGTATGAGTGGCCTTGGTTTTGTTGATCACTAGCTGCAAGCAGTTATGTCAAAATGAAGTAGTTAATCATGCAGAATTCAAGACAGTGAAAGTAGAAAGGAGAGTTGCACAGATCAACTAAAATCCTGATTTATTTTTTTTAACTACTGATGACCAAAGGGAAAGCTAAGGATATTTTATGGCACCTGTGTCAAACTCGCCATGTCACATTGTCGTCATGTGACGTATAGCAATGTTTTTTTTTCCCTTCGCGGAGCTGAGGTGGGTGTGGCCTGCACATGACACATCTGGCCCACAGGTCACCAATTTGACAATGGGAAGTGTCTGTGGTCACCAGAATTTAAAAAATATAGCATACCCTCAGCAACCACAGCAGGTTTTACTATTTGTTACTATTGTTTTTATCATCTTTAGGTGTTGTTTGTGAGGTGGGTGGCAGTATGAAAATAAGTAATAATAAGTTACTGAATCTTTCTAAAAAATAGAATTCATATACTGGATTTGTCATTTTAAAAAATATTCTGGTTGATAACATTTAATTTTCATGGCAGAATAATGCAAAAAATGTTTTCAGAATGAGTGGATTCAGTGGACCTCCATTTAAATGGATACTTTATTTTGCCCACAGTTCAGTTTGAGCAACCCTGATTGTTGCTTCATTTTTTTTTTTTTTACAGGTTAGGGATCCCTCTAGTACAGTGGTTCCCAACCTTTTTTTCACCCCACACCCCTAAAGAAATTTCACTCGAACCTCGCACCCCCTGAAATTTAGACTTTAGGAACTACTGAACGCATTAAATATATGGTAGGATTGAATCTTTTCAGCTATGTATGTGACGGCCACTAAATAACGATACTTAACTCTAAAATGAAAACAAAGTTAATCCATTGCATAATAAATAAAAATGCCAACATATAGCCAATATCCTATTATTTACCTGGACTTTTCTCGCACCCCCTGGAATATCGTCTCGCACCCGCAGGGGGTGCGAGCACCCCAGGTTGGGAACCCCTGCTCTAGTAAGTTGCTTTGCTGGAGCAGTCCAAGATCTAGTTAAAGAACCATCCTGTTTCCCAGAGTGGCGGATGGACCGTGTAGGAAATCTTCTCTGAGCTGCATAATGGGGGCAGTTCTATACACGGGATGAATAACAGTTGGCGGAGTTTGTAGGAAGAAGGCATAGAATTATAAGGTTTATTTGGAAGGTGCCAAGGTATCTCTGTAATGACTTTGTCCCAATGTGAGACTGAGAGCATGATGTTCTTAAATGGACTGATGAGAATTAGTTTAATGAAGTCTGACCTTGGTGCCCAGTCATTTGGCAAACATTTCTTTAGACAAGTAATGAATAAGTTCTTTCCTTGTTACAGACTTTTTGTGGAAAACATAGCCACCCTTCTGTCTCTTTTATCTACTTCAGAAGAAAAGAGAATATGGGGAAAACCTAGGCAGGTTGAATCATAAAGAGCATCATCTTTTGTAAGAACTGAAAGTGGGTTGTTCCGATATCATCAAGTGTTGGTCTTGGTACCCACCACTTGTTGAACAAACAACTTCATTCGTAGTAGAATGTTGTGGCTGCATTGCAATAAAATAATTTCAATTGGTTGCCACTCTGCTGTAGTCAGAAATTTCTTGCATTGTACTTTTCCTCTTTCTTTTGTATGATTCACTTGCAAAAGCCTCAACAGTTGTTTAGGGTTCATTACCTAGTGGTTGTTAAATTACATCCCTTGGACTTTCCATAGACTTTGAGATAGCCTCTAAGATTACAGTGAAAAAAGATAACTCTGTCTCCTTTTCAGAATGAATGCTTGCCAACTCAGTAGCTCCTTTAGGATTCTAGTGCAGGTGTACCAACTGTTACAGATGCTTTTTCCGTTGATTGCAATTGTACAGACAGAGGCTGTCTTATTAAATGGTGCTTTGGAGTGCCCGTTTTATGCCAACAATTATAAATTAATAATGAAGGGCAAGAGGTTCTATCAGTAGCTAGAATGTAAGTTCAGCCTCTCTGTTAAACATGCCCTGAATCTTAGTTCTGACACACAGCTCAAGAGAGTACTAGATGTTCAACCTCATTGCACTTTTTTCCCTCAATCTGAATAGTACAGCTCCATCAGAATATTAAGTGACAAGAAATTGTACTTTTCTCAGGACATAAAGTTCTAAGTACTTCTGATATAGGGCTGTTCTCTTAGGGAAACACAACAGAAGAAGTATAGCACAATTAACTTTGTTAATCTTTCTGAAGCATTGCTTCCTCTGGATGGTTAAACATCAGTGCCCAGAATTCCCGAGCTAACATGTTGATAGCTGAAAATTCTGTGAGTCAAGGTCCATGCAAGGTCCATTGAAAGGTGCCACAGTGGGGAAAGCTGACGTACATCCTTAATTATTGCATTCAGGGTAGGTAAACCATGGTGTACAGTGGTTAGAGTGCAGTACTGCAGGCTACTTCTGCTGCCTGCTGGCTGCCTACAATTTGGCAGTTCAAATTTCACCAGGCTCAAGGTTGACTCAGCCTTCCATTCTTCCAGAGTGGGTAAAATGAGGACCCAGACTGTTGGGGGAAATAGGCTGATTCTGTTAATATGCTTAGAGAGGGCTGTAAAAGCACTGCGAAGTGGTGTATAAGTCTACGTGCTAATGCTATTGCTAAACTCAATGTTCTATAAATAATATTGCCAGATGTCTTCCATAAAGGCCCTGATCAGACCTAGATCTGCTTAGATTTGGCTACAGTTTACAACAGGGCCTTTTAGATCTTAACCTATGGCTCAGAAAAGCATGAAGTGGGCCTGTGCCTTCCCTTTGCAGCATGGGATATTAATAGGCTTCTGTTCTTGTTTCATTGTATGTTTCAGCATTTTTCAAGTTGTCTGAGTGGTTGCTACTTTCAATATGATCATTGTACAAATATATATGTATATTAATAATTCCAGAGTCGATGGGAAAGCCAGCAAGATATTTCTCAGATTTCAACAGAATCCAGGTCCAGTGCAAGTCTCCATGGGTCAACTCAGCAAAATGGTTCTACAGACCAAGGTAAAAATGTAGGGCAGATCAGTGATGTGAACTAGCTGTCATTGTTCCGGATGATAAACCCAGGGAAGTCAGGACTCTGACACTTTGTGCAAGTTCAAGAAACCCTTTATTGAATACATCACAGCAGCACTTAGAAAGGTGAAGCTAGCTCTAAATAGCCCCCACACTTAGGGATAGTTAAAAGAGTAGGATTTTCCCACCCCGCAGAGTCTTTTAGGTCACATGGGCCAATCATGCCAGCCACAACTTCCTGCTCCGACAGGTTTCCGTTGACATGACTTTGCTTCACATGCCAGTTTGTAGATGTTTTGACTAGTGACTGAGACATCACATTCCTAAGTTCCCCCATCCCTCCCTCTGTGAATGGCAACCAAGAAACAATCAAGGAGTAAGCATGAGAAAGAATGGCTTCAGCTGAAGTCGTTTTGCAGGTTGACACTAGCCACTGCAGCTGTAGATTCCTCCTCCCTCCCCTGGTTTTATATAAAAGTATAAGATCCTTTTTGGCAAATAGGGGGCATACCTTTGAAACAGTTTCTAATTTCTTTGGTGAATGAGCACCACATTGGATAGACGGATATGATTTAATGTCATGAGCAAGGCCAGATTCCCTTGGATGGAAGGGCTTGCACAGAATTTATGTATTTTTCCACCAAAACAATGGCAGGAAATTTCATGGTTGTTTCTTGGCAGCCAAGTTCAACATTAAGCAAAGCATTCAGAAATGGTTCAAAGTAGACTTCAATAATATTGTGGATGTTCAAGAGACAGGTAGCAGCATTGTGAATTTGTTTATTTGTCTTGTTCAGGACTCAGTAGTCTGGCTGCCTCTTACTTGAATCCGGTGAAGTCCCTCATGCCTCAGATGCCAAAGCTGCTCAAATCTCTGTTTCCTGTTAGAGATGAAAAAAAGGGCAGGCAGACCTCTCTCCTAGCACAGCAGGTACAAGAGCGTTCTATTTAGAGGGTTGCAGGCAAGAATAAAAACAAAGTTGTTCACCAGTGAATGGAGTTTAGAGTGGATTCCTGAGGTTAGCAAACAATTGTTCAACCACAATGGTGTTCTTTTTAAAAAAAAACTTACCATGTCATATTCCATGTGTACATTTCAGTACAACGTACAATTTGGGAAGCAAAACACAATGTGATTCCCCAAGATTGGTTACTAATGACTCAATAGATTGTAGTTGGTATTACAGTTTTATGAAGTTTTTTGGCTTCTCCAGCCTGATGCCCTTCTGGATCTTTTTTTTTTTTTAAGTTTTAAAAACAATTTTATTTACAAATTTAAAAACGTACAATTTCAAAAATACAGAAACAAATAATAACACATAGTTTTTTACATTTGTTGTCCAATTGATGAGTCCTAAAAATCATTATTGGCTAGTACTAGTCACATATTCACACTTTGTCACATCCTAAGTACTAAATAATTCACAATATACTCCATTTATTTTCGTGTTGGATTATAACCACTCTTCTATTACTAATACATTCATGTTTTTTAACTAATAAACACAAAAATATTATAAATAGCTAATACTAATAATAGTAGTAACAAAGAAAAGAAGATTTAAAACCTTTAATTGTACTTAATATATTATGAAGCCCTTCTGGATCTTATGACACTACTGTTGTATTTTGAGAATTGTAATCTGAACACATCTGAAAAGTATCATTTTAGAAAACTTAGTTCAGAATCACAAACTATGCATTGAATTGTTTCAGTCTGATTCCATTCACTGTTCAAAATATGTAAGGATCTCTTTGATCTCTTACCATGGAGGAAATGTAGGAGAAAGAAGTAATCGGAAGAAAACTAAAATATGGTTCCATCAATTAATAAAGATTGCTGAAAGATTATCAGCATCTTTGGAATAATAAACATCTTAGTTTGTGTATAATAACTTGGAGTAGAGCCATCCATAAAAAGTTACTGACAAGCTACAAAACATCCCACAGAAAGAGTAGCTGGGCCTTTTAAGAGGGGAATAATGTGATTATTTTAGAAGTCATCCTTAGAAGAGAGGGAGTTAGAAGCCATCCTTGTATTGCATTATCAGTGTGATTAAAGTTGATAGGTTAATGTCTAAAACATCAAATTGATTTTCCCTGTTTAGATTGAGTTTTCTTTTAGTGCAGTCACTGGTCTTTTGAATGTCCACAGCAAGCTCCTGAGGTATTTGAGTGACTTAAGCTGACATTTCTATTATGCACATTTTGTTTGTTTTTATTTGTGCAAATGTTCTAGATGGGCTCATATTTCGTATGTATGTATTCTATGTATGTATGTTCATTTTCTTTGTGTCGTGCCTTTGTAAGGGAAAGAAAGAGACGTTTGAAGCAGTGGCATTTCAGTATAATCTGTAATTGTATTACACTTGCAAACATGGCTTTAAAAGTAGGTATTTGAGTTGCCAAACCAGCATATGCAGTAGCTATTTTAGAAAGCTGGAAAAAAAAACCTCAATTAGAAAAGTTCAGAGCTCCAGGTCTCCAGTATGAATTTCAAATTAGTAGCAGTCAGGCACAAGTTCTGAGCTGACCTTCAGGAAATAGTAATTCAGAAGAGCATCACAAAAATGGTCCTCATTTCTCAAGAAAAAAGTTGATACTGTTTTATAGAAAATTGGGGGAAATGATAAGCATATTAAAAGTTATGTCATCTTTTCAGAGGCTTGGTCTATAACTGCTTTAGTATTAATACTTTCATTTGCAGAAGTGATAAGTAACATGTAGCTTCAGCTCATCTGTTTGCAATTCTTGAAGCCACCTTGAAACATGATTCCTAAAATTTGGAAGCACAGTTGCTTGCCATTTGAATGTGGAAGTCATGAAAACAGAAACACAATCTGTAAAGCAAGCAGATGATAGTTAACATATAAAGCAACCTCCAGTTTTCTCTCTCTAAATGCCTATGATGTGATCCCATTCTCTTTGTGGGTTCATCTTCTATAAAAGTATTAAATGTGGCTCTTGGCTAGCAAAAAATTATCTACTTCAGTTTTTCAGATTCGTTGCTTCACAAAATTGAAGAGTTCATAGATAATATTCACTCCTTAAAACTCTTTTTGAAAATAAAAAACACTGTCTTTTAAAAGTGTAACACATTTCATCTCCTCTTTTGATTCTTCATAGAATTGCAATAACTTGCAATTAATTTTTTAGAAAATTTGCTAAATAAAGAGAGTAAGGGAGGTGATCTTGACAGAAATATGCAAAAAAACATTACCAAGTCAAACATAGAAACATAGAAAACTGACAGCAGAAAAAGACCTAGTGGACTGCCCTTTGAGGTTTTGTTGTTGTATCAATTTATGTATTTATTATTTTTAATTATTTTTTTATGTTTTATATATTTTTATTTTATTTTTTTGTTGAGTGATGGACATGTGTTTATCCCAAACATGTTTAAATTCAGTTAGTGATGATTGATCCACTGTCTCTGCTGGAATTTGGTTCCACGTTTCCATTACTCTTTCTGCGAAGTAATACTTCGATAAACAGCATGTGCAACATCCATAAGGGACAATTCATGCATAGCAACTATAAAGTCTATCTACTTTAAAAACACTTAGATCTTACGTTGAGTATTTCATATTCCCTTCAGTTTCATCTGAACTAGAACCATCTTAATCAAATAGTAAACTTTTTTTTTGGGGGGGGGGGGGGGGGAGCATCTGGCAAGAAGAAGAGGTCATTTAAATTTAGAAAGTAGTGTAAGACCATTGATGACTCTATCCATCCTCCGCTGTGGAGATGATTGTAATTCAGCTTATTCTGAGCAGGCGTCAGCCAGACTTGTTGGAAATATAATTACCAATTTCAAGTCAGTGTGGTCCTTTGGGATTTTAGAAGGTTAGCTTTAGATGAGAAAGCAATAAAATGTATGATAATTTCCTCAGAAATAAATTTCTGGACTTGGAATATTCGTTCCTAGGTGTTAGTTTGCTTCTTAACAATTCATGGTTTTGTTCATTTTCAGAACCAAGTTGATATCAGGGTTCCTAACATATGTCCACCAAAAATCCCTAAGCGAGATATAAATATTCTCCTTACCTCATAGTTGCAAATTCCCATTTCTATCATGATCGCTAGCATTTCCTTTACCACCTTATCTTATGAGGATTATCTGAGTGAAGCTGAGGGATGAGGAATAGAATCATGGCTTAAAAATAGAAGTGCATTTTCTACTTGGCAATACACAAATGCACTAAGTGCTCATCATAAATTTTACTATTGTTGCTGGAACTGATGTTTTCATAAATCACATTAGATGAAAGTGCTGGGTGCTTAAGTGTTATCAATACGTTTAAATAGTGCTGCTGGTGGAATGGAGGGTATTCTGTTGGCTTTGCTTGGGCCTATAATAGAGGACAGTTATACTAATTCACCATAAGATGATAATGATTATGATGATAGCAGCATTTCCTATGGAATCTCGTTCTCTAATCTGGTCTCTAGCATCAACCCCAATCCCAAAAAATTATATATAAAAATTGTCCTGGATGATGGTTGTGGTGGGAAAAAATATTCTTTGCATGTGAGATAATAGCTATCAGGAAGCCATGTTACTAACTGTTCCTTGACTTGCTCATTGTCTACATGCAAAGAATATTTTAGATGGTAAGGATGGTAGAGAAGGAAAGTCATAATATGTGCTGAATACATAAATTGGCCATCAGAGAAACAGTTCAAGTCCTAAATGAAAAGAGTGTTGAGGATCCTACCTGATTGTAAGAATCAAAATTTTCAGGCTTGTCATAACAAACCAATAGCTACCTATTCTTGAGAATCCACTGCAGCGTGTGTATTAGAAAGTCTTCAGCAAAAGAAGCACAAAAACTGAAGGCAGAGCAACCGAATTATTGCAGTGATGAATCTTCTGGTATAGAAGCAGGCAGTATTTTAAGAGCTCATGGATGCCAATTTGCATTCTGGCCTTTTGGAGTATTACAAGAAATTCACTGAGTGAGATTATTCACTGGTTTGGGGTTTGACGTCATCAGTTGGCTGGTGATATCCAATTATATATTTTGATTCCAAGCCAGTCAGGTGAGTTGCTAAGATTCTACCCCAGTGCCTGAAAATTATGTAGTTGTAGATGGGGAGGAACCATCTCCAACTCAATCCTTCCAAGACTAAGTGGCTGTCCATGTTAGGACCACCTAGATCACCAGAAAATTCCATCTTTAACATTGCATGGGTAGAATGCTTCTTTCTCCCTGAACTTACAGTTTCTCTTAAATGAGCAGGTGGCAGCTATGTCCAGGAAGGCCTTTGCAGAACTTCATCCGGTAGGCAAGCTTATCTGAGATCAGGATACCCTTTCCCTGGTCACTAACACCCTAGGCACATCACAGTTCAGTTACTACAGTGTGCTTTACATAAGGCCGCCCTTGAAGACCACTTGAAACTACAACTAATCAGAATGCAGTGACACTGGCAGTGATAGCCATACCTCAGTAAGTCATGCTTCATGAGTTGCACTGGTTGTGGGTTTGCTTCTAGATATGGTTATTTGAGGTACTGTTTATCTCCTGTGGAGTTGACCTGGCCAGTTCAATCTGACAGGATTGATAATCCTTTGATTAAGTAGCATTATTTATCAGGATCTCTCAAGTATTTTCCCTATTGTGGTATTTGCCAAATAAAATGAGGTTTCCTCTGAGATCCAGGTGGCTCTCACCAGAAGGTTCTCCCAGGGCCTGGGTATATAGTAATGTCTATAACTGGATCTGCCCATCCTGATTATTCCTATGTTCTCTATTTGGATTACATCTTTCTATGCTGTGAACTGTCTGGTAACATGTACGTTAAATAAAATAAATAAATAAATGAGTAATGATTTAGATAAACATTAGATAAAAAGTTCTACTGCAGTATAAAAGTTTTATGTTTCATTGTGACATAAAATTCAGTAATATATTAGCAAAGTTTTAGAAAAGATTTTATTAAACAGCAGAGTGAAAAGATAACAAAGCAAAACCTCTGAAAACCTCTCCAAGATTGCAGTGCTTTTGTGTCAAATCCATTTTTTCCTGTGAGGGAGAGTGGGACCTTCACACTTCATTAGCCTTTTATCTTTATTTTTTTATGATTTACTGATTTTCTTGAAATATCTTTGATTGTTCTGAGCCATCCAGAGTCATTGAGAGTTGGGCGACATACAGGTTTACTACATCATCATCATCATCATCATCATGCCCCCCCCCCTCAAATTAAGGGTGAAGGTGGACTGGAAAGATCGATGGAGGCAAACTAATTCCCACACCTAAAACTATGTAACAATCCTGGAAACGTTTCCAGCCATTTCACAGGTTTGGGGGTGCTTTTAAAAGGATAGAATGTGAGTAGTTCCTGTTCCATTTTTACCTATAACTTAGAAGTCCCATTCCATGTAGACATTGAATAGGAGGAGAGAAAGAGAGAGAGAGAGAGTCAGGTCCTGTGGCACCCACAGAGGAGGGGTCTAGGAAATAACACCCCCCCCTCAAGCCAATACCAACTAGAACCTGCCCTGGAAGAAGTAAGAAAACCACAATAAAACAGTGCTCCCTATTTCCAACCCCCAGAGTTGGCCCAGAAGGATATTGTAGTCAGTGGCATCAAAAGCCAGTGAGAAACCAATGAACATAAGGATTAATTCACTACCTCCACCCTGGCTCCATCTCAGATCATCAACAAGTGCAACAAAGGCTGTCTCTATATAAAGTCCTAGCCTGAAATCAGTGAAATGGATTTTTATTCTATTCAGTCCTCTCTGTTTTCATAATGCTATTTTACCCCATTATTTGAATTTCTAATTTTATTTCTTTCATAAATTTTTTTTAATTTCTCATCCCATTTGACACTTGAAATAGACTTTGTTTGGAAAGCTGGCATAGAAATTTTAAAAAAATAACCATGACTTCCAGGATGCTTTCTTGTAAAGCTGTTGCATGCTTGTATCAGGGTGGTCTGATTATATATAATCCAGATTGTAGCACCATCCCACTGTGCTCAGCAATGAGATCAAATGTTTGCTCTCTATTTCTTCCATTCCATGTTCAAATCTGACAATAGTCATTAGATCATGTTGAGTGCATTCTACAGTTTATTTCTTTAAAATGTTTGGTCACTTTATGGTTATGGAGAAGTGATGGATAACAATTTTCATTTTGAGAGATCAAAATCTTTGAAGAAACCCTAGACCTCAACGTATCCCACTTTCAACTGCATTTATGGCACAAATCAAATATTTGTGAAGAAGAAACAATGTGTTAGGCCCCCAAAACAAAGAAAGAAACATTGAGATTTTTCTGAGCTTATTTCTTTAGTATTTGTCACCTATAGATAGAAATCTTGCCAGACTAAAGCAGATCGTGTGCATCATATATAGAGCTGACAAGTATTGGGAAAAGGCCATTTTCACCCTCTTTCTCTCATGCAAACCATTTAAACTGTGTTGTCTTCTGCTCCTTCAGAATGCACACCTTCTCCCCTGGGAGTTTGACAATATCCATCACACAATGTGGAGTTGATCCATAACTAGAAGGGAGAAGAACTCCAAACTTCAAGGGAGATCTTACAAATCTATCCATAAGCTTGTTGTGCTTTCCAGACTTGCAGATTTTGTTCTTGGAGTTCTGGTTTGGATACTGTGTTCTAATTTGCTTTCGGTTACCCTGCTTTAACCCTCCCAATATGAAAAAGGAACTATAGATGTACCTGTTGGTAGCACCATAGGGAGAAGAAGAACAAGTCATGGATTCAGCCTCTTCTTAGTTACTATCGGTATCTGTTCTCTTATTACTCTTTTCCCAAAAGATATTTCTCTATTCCTATGAACATCTTTGTCTCTTTAGGTTCTTTCCTTTTATCTTGGAATTCTGGGGAATCTCTGCAGCTACCATACAGCACCTCAGAATAGCAAAGATTATATTATATTATAATCCAATATTCATTCTTTGTTAGCATAAAAGAAATATATGTGGGCGTTTATGTGCATCAATAAAAATGCAAAAGCTAAGAAGGATCTTGTCCAATGAGAACAATCTCTGAAGAAACAGCAACTGTGAAATGCCAGTAGAAAAAAAAAAAGGTACCCCACAGTTAAATATGGAGTGGGAATACAATGGGAAGTAATGTGTATTGGATAGTAGAAAAAATACACTAGCAATCTCCCAAATGGAGGGTCAAGTGTTCAGAGGAATCTTAAAAGAGACCAAACAATCTTCCTGTTCTGCTTGCGAAAAAATTTGATTACTGCAAATGGAAATTATGGCTTTACAGTGCTGAAGGCTTGCTGTAGTTGGTGATTTTGCCACAATGCAGATACTCTTGGGTGTTACAGAAATGGAAGGTTATTTATTAGAAAGCAATTAATGTGTTAGAAGAGCTCTAGCTGGAAAGTGAAAACTGACTTCAGCAGCGGATTTCTTTTTAAAAAGGGAAGATTAAAAAATTAAAGTGATGTAACATTTTCTGAGGGCAAATGAGGGATGGACATTTGTAAGTTTCTGCATTCATGGAAACGGCAAGGACAAGAGACCAAGAAACAAACAGACATTGGTGTTCTGTGAGGGAAATTAAGAAACTGCTTTTGTTATAGCAGCAGTTGAAAGAAATGAGTTCACTTCAAAGGAAAGAGAGAGAAGGTTCTGTTTGACCTTCACTGCAGGTTTTCAGCCCGTATTCTGAAGAACCAAAGGAAAAAATTGGGAATGGCAGGGAAATTTCCCATCTTTGAAGAAGAGCTTGTCAAGTGCAGGTAGTCCTCAACTTACAACCACAATCGGGACCAGAATTTCTATCGTAATGTGTTGAGGTCACAAGTTGAGTCTGACCGATTCTTCAACAATTTTTACAGTGGTCTTTAAGCAGTTCGCTGTGTTGTTGAGCTAATCACAACTTCTTCAAAATAAATATGCATAAATAAATTGCTACTTCATTCCATTTTTAAGAAGTTTACCGTCTTAAGAACCCATTTTTTTGCTAGCTTTTAGTAAGGGGTGGTTTTAAATTATCATTTTTAGGAGACTATTTTACAAAACTACTTTGTTGTTGGAAAACTTTCACAGTTTAAAAAAAGATGAATTGAAAAATGCAAATTTTCCAGCACTGGAAATATATTGTCTTCAAGGAAAAGTATTACAAATGGTTCATCAAATATTCTTGGGTTGGGTGGAGATATAAATTTATTTGTACCTTTAGAAAAAAGCACCGTAGAGCATGCTTAGGAAATGCTGAAGGAAGTTAGTAACAAGAATGCTCAGTTCAAAAAATTATACTACACTAAATGTCAGGCAAACAGAGACTGAAAATACTTGGAGAGATGCTTATGGGGAGGCAGGCACAACTGATACTAGGGGAGTATTATTTTCAGCATATTGGTACTGGAAGTAGCTGCAATAACTACAGTGTGAAATAATTGGGAAATACTGTGTTCTCATTGAGCTTAGGTTTTTAACTCTGATGTTGAGCAAATTGGAACAGCTTAATTTGCACATAAAGAATGAAGCCCCTTATTTACAGCACAAAAAAAAAATGCTATTTAGGATTTTAAGGGAACTATTTTAGGACTCATTATGCCTAAAATATGATGCCTGTAAAATAAGTAACTTTCTACTGTTGTTTGAGAATTTTTATAGTCATTCAGGGATTAATACAAAAGGAACGTCTTTTCTTATTGCAGCCAGTCCCACGAATTATGGTTCAGCCTGCCAGGATTGATGCCAGTCCTGCAAAAACCCAACAGGTGGGTCCTTCTGAACTGTCCATGGTGCTGAATAACTACATTGTTGTTACATGGAGCTGGGAGGCAACAGTAATACCACAACTACTATCAGAATCAATAAAGAACTGAGTTCTCCAAACATGCAGAAAGCTGTTATAGTTATTTATACGTTCATGGTGTAGATTGGAGACATTTGTCTATGAATTATCCTAAGCCCCAATGCATATTAAGCTTTCAGTGTAAGAAAGGGAAATCCAACTTTATGCCTTGATCCTGCATGAGCCAGATATTCTAATTGCTCGGTTTTCACATAAAAAGATCTAAGACTTGTTGAATTATCACTATTCTATTGTAATGTCATCACTAGTGTGTCCAAAAGCCAGCAAGTGCACAACCACTGTACTATGCCAAGTAAACAGTATTCCATGTTGTAGGTATCCAATGGAATAAGAAACAGGAAGCCAGGTTTGAGGGCTGTATCTCCTTATATCAGATAATAGCACATTTAGTCTGCATAATATCAGGTGATTCACAATTTTTCTTATAATTCTTCCTTTGCAAATATCATCTTGGAGTCTCCTTGCTTTAGTTGCATCTACCGCACTATAGTTAACTATCTTTCTATCCTCCAAGGTCCTCTTGTAAGGACTGCACCTTCTTCTGCAGAAACATTCCTTTCCATGTGATCTTAAATCAATGGTCTAAAGTTGTTGACTGGAATAGGGAATAGACATGCAGCAAAGTTTATCAGGAGACATTGAAAAAAATCCTCATGATGTCAAGAGTTTGCTGAAGGCATGGGCTGGCAAAAGCCCATGTTTTTTCAAAGTTGGCTGGTGCTACTTCATATTTATTATATTGTGTATATATGCATGTGGGGGTATATATATCATATGCATATTATGAACTGTTAAGCATAGAAAGAGTCATTAATTCTGAAAGTTGTGGATTTGCAGTGTTGCGGTTAACACATTTGGGAAGGAAGCCATTTTTGGCATATGGAGTTACACAAGGTGATACTTGACTTGGAAATGATGATTTATGCCTTCTGTAAATTAAGCCAAATAACTGGGAGAGACTTATAAATCTGGCTTGTTTCCCACTTCACATAAATTGCCTCTTTCAAACAGCAAACATATCTTTCTGTAATATAAATGATCTTTTAGTAAATAATAGGAGTCATATTTCATGTGCTATATGCATTTATATATTAATCCTACTAGACCTTCAGCCTATTAGCCAGACTGCCTCCTTTGAGCCTGTTAATGCTCTAGCATAGAAATAAGCCACACACTCATTAGTATGTGTTATTCATGCTATTTATTTCTACATACTTATTTATTAACGTATTTTTAGTTTCCCCACCACCCTAAGGATCGCAAAGTGGATTACAAGCTATAAAATGCAGAAGATAAAACAATAAATGAGCCTATAAAATATGTAATTCCATAAGCTGATACATTCATCCATTTTGGATATCAATGTATCCTAAAATTGTTAATTTTGAATGTCTCTTATCCCAAATCATAGTCTTCTTCAGACTATGAGAATTCTCACATTTTGAATAATGGGTGAAGCTTCCTTCATAGGGATCGGGAAAGGAATTTATGGACATTTGGTATTAATGAATGCAAGGCCTCTGAGTTGTTGGTATACTCTTAAGAATTCCTGCATGATATACTGGGACTTCCTTCTCTCTGTCCATGTACTATAGGTCCAATCGCAATTGCAGACAGTATGTCAACCTTACGAAGTAGACCTGATAGGAAACATGACCACATCGGCTAATTTCATTTTATTGTAAAGCTGCATTAAAATGAAAATACAATTCTTCCCTCCCCCACCCTTAATAGCCTGAAAAACTCTTTTTGTGAGCCCACTATCCAGCCGCAGTATGTTGTTTCTTACTCAGCCATACCCTTGGCAGTGTCATTTTGCCCCCATGGTTTTCCCCACATACCATTATATAGTGGGGGACATATATGCTTCCTGGAAGGGAAAAAAACAACAACAGCACAAGGAAGTACAAGTAGATTAATATGCTCTCTCTGCTTCTTTAAATTACAGAAACTGTATCTCAGAACCCTAGATACTGGGGAATCAAAGGACACGGGGCATTCCCTTCACCTCTGACTAAGCATTTTTAGAAATGGGATAAAAAACCAGATGGATCTTGGATGATGCAGGAAGGCTGCTCTTGTTTGCCCTTACCCAGATCCATCTTTCATCTTCAACTTCCTTCATAATATAAATCAAAATGTGGCAAGCCTCTTCAGATATGGCAACAGAAGTTAAACAAATGTGTAGTTTATCTTTGTTGTGTTGTTTTCTGTTTTCTTAAATGTAAATTTGACAATCTCTGACCCTTTTCTGCTTCAGGTTACCGAGGGACAAGGAAGCAAAGGACCTTTTGAGGTGGCTTTGCAGTTGACAGAGTTGGGGAAGAACCTTGAAAAACCAACCAAAGTGCCTTTACAGCAGTCCACTGTGGACATCCAAGCACAAGATTCTCAAGAGGGTCCACCAAGTCCCTTGAGTGAAGCCTCCAGTGGATACTTCTCTCACAGTGTTTCTACAGCAACCCTTTCTGAAGCACTTGCATCAGGAAACGACCCCCATCTTCAACCCAGTAGTCAGACCTCCACCACAAATGATGCCCCCTCAATTTCAAAAACTCCTAAGGTGGTGTCTTCAACAGATAATCCTATAAAATCATGTTCTGATTTAGCTTCTCAATGTTGCCATTCTCTTCCAAAGAGGGATCCAGTTCTCCCTGGCCTTAAAGATGATCAAATAGACAAGGACAATGAGAAAATGAGCTATAATGGCAACTTAAAATCAAGATCTGTTGATTCTGCCATTGCTCTAAATGACGATCAGGTTTCTCCCTCCCTAGTTACTGAGGATGCACATTGCTGTTCTATCTCTCCTAATAAGAAACAAATACAATTGACACAGACAACCATCTTATTACCATCAGAGAGCCCTCTTTCTGTCCCAAAGGAGGTTCCCATTTATAAAACAGGACCTTCAAAATCTCCAGCTACGGTTGACCTGCCTTCTCAGTCCAGCACTACAAGTTCTCCCTTCAAAATCCAAAGAGTACGAACATCAGAACTCAAGTCCTTCTCCAGTATGTTGAGTGGGGATCCAGGAGCTTCTTTGTGTTCAGAGGAAGAAAAGAGCAGACAGAATTCAGAAGACTCAGAAGACCAGAACAACAGTGTAGATGCTGGTTCTGAAGAGAAGTTGGATGCAGCAGCATCTGACTCAGAAGAAACCAATGAAATCCCAGACTGGCTGAAAGAAGGCGAATATGTAACTGTTGGCACGAATAAAATAGGCACTGTGAGATATGTTGGTCCAACAGATTTCCAGGAGGGAACCTGGGTTGGAGTTGAGTTGGATTTGCCATCAGGTAAGTGTTGAGAAATGTTGTTGGGATGCAGTAAGGTGTGCAGGAAATGGTAGTGGCTGGCTTCGGTGGTTGTTTTTGTTTCCCTCAATCCACGGGTGATTCCCTCAGACCTTTATCTCTTATTGAAGTCGGTCTAGTTTCTTTCACTGTTCTCCAGTGTAGGTCAGTCGCACATAGAAATTTTTCTTAAGGCATGTAGAGCAGCGCAGGTGGAAAAAGTCACCAGTTTGGTGAGCCGTTCTCCTTAATGTCCAGTATTGTTTGAAATTCTGCCACCTTCCACTTGGATAGGTTCATCATCCCCTGGATTAATCTCTACTGAAAAGGGGAATCGACCTGCATTCAGATACAGTTCCTTCAACAAAAGTGATTGGAAATAGGGTGACTCATCCAGAGCATACATGGAAATCTGGCTGACTGTAAAGGATTTCTTTACTGAGTAGCAGAACACACATTTGCATCCACAAGATTTGTGGATGGGTTCAATTAGTCTGGTTCAATTTGCAACTATCTCCCATTTAAAAGATTGCGGTTGTGGAAAGTGTCTGGTGAATTAGCCAGAAGAGGCAATAGTGGGCAGCTTCATATGACCAGAAGCACTGATTGTGAAAATGCAATTCCATCAGGCTTAACTTTGTGTTTTGAATAGCAAAGAAAACTTGAAAACATATGATACTATATTTGAATTCATTCATTCATTTATTGGGTTTTAGGTAAATAAAATAACTCTAGATGGTATACAATTAAAATCAGAAAAGTCATGTAAAATGTTCTATCAAGAAGTCAAGGATAGAATTATTAAAGTTAAAAGAGGGGAGTGAGGGACTTTGAGGCACTAACTAAATAGAAAGGGTTTTTTTTTTTTTTTTGGTTCTCTGCAAGCCCCATATGAGTCTTCAGACTCTCCCCAAAGACCAGGAGAGTGGGGGCCTGCCTCGTCTCTTGCGGGAGGATATTCCAAAGGACAGGGACTTCTGCCTCTACTTCTGAGCTTCCATATAAAGATGAAAGCCTTGATAATATATGCTGAATACGCAGCATGCTGAAAATATGCCATAGAAAATAAAAATGTTTATTTTAAGACTGTATCGTTGCTCTGAATTAATTTGTGCAACTACCACCTCAGTTAGCAGGAAGGAGAGGCTTACTTTCCTAAGCAATTTTTATGGAGCCCAGGAAACATTATTGGTGGTAGAGAAAGTGTCCTGTGTGCTGATGTGTAGCCAAATGCTGCCATGGGGATGCTATGTCATCGGGCAACATGTTTTATTGAACTACCCATTGCCCAGCAACCACTAGGCAGTATCCTTAGCCAGATGCATTTATTTCATGATTTAATGAAACAACCCTTTTCAAAGAAAATCTCTTTATCTCAAAGGTAAGAACGATGGTTCAATTGGAGGCCGGCAGTACTTCAAATGCAATCCAGGCTATGGGCTCCTTGTGAAGCCAAGTCGAGTCAAAAGAGCTACAGGTTCTGCAAGGCGGCGGAGTGCTGGAATGAAACTACAGGGCACAACTGGGACCGCAACTGAGCACCGGCGGAGTGGCACCTTCTCAGGCTCTGCCTCCAATTTGGCTTCTTTGACTGCTTTAGCCAAGACAGAAGGAGGATCAGTTCCACGGACTGAGAAAAGTAAAAAGAATACAGAAAACAGGAAATCATGGGCTACTTGAGAGCATCTCCCAACGGGCATGTCTGCCTGGCTCGCAACACTACTGTGTGAAACTGACCCTTCCTTCCTTCCTTCCTTCCTTCCTTCCTTCCTTCCTTCCTTCCTTCCTTCCTTCCTTCCTTCCTTCCTTCCTTCCTTCTTTCCTTCCCTTCCCTTCCCTTCCCTTCCCTTCCCTTTCCTTTCCTTCTTTCCTGAATGGCCTTTCTTTGCACTACTAAGCCAGTTGGAGGAGATGGTTGATGTGTGTCAGAGTATATGAGTATTTTGGATTTCTTTTACTGAAATTTGTTGGTTTTTGTCATGATGGAGTAACATGAGGCTCTTGATGCAAATGGTGACCTTTCCCAGTGTGTTTTTCCAAATCTCTCCTTTCATTCCCCAGCCATTCAAAGGAAGTCTTCTATAAGAGATGTTGGCAGGGCTTATTTTCTTAGAAAGACTGCCAAATGCTGCTTACTAGCAAACTGTTGCCCTTCCAAGTCTCATCATTAAACCACAGTGAACCAATGAGAATCATAGAATTTGGCAGATCACAGCCTATTGGAAAAAGTGCCTGTCTTTAAGACTTCTTCTATGATCTTTAAACTGTTCTTGTTGATGTCAGTGGAGAAATATTGTCCCTCGTTCTACTGGAATGACGATTGGGGACTAGCCTACATGCACATTGCTTTTCTTTTCTTTTAAAATTCTCAATCCAATCTGTGATTACAGTCTAACATATCTGACCTTTTCCATTTAAATGGAAGAGTAAATAGTGCATTTTTTTCTTCTAGTGTTTTATTATTATGGTTGGCTACACAGTCAGCCAGAGGTTTAGATCGGATTTGGCTTTTTTATCAACCTATCATGTCCTTCCCCAAGGACCTTGGGCAGGCAGATGTTGTTGTTTCATGGTAAAGGTATTATTACTATTATTATTATTATTATTTTCAGCATTCCCTTCAGTGCTGTTGCATTTATAAAGTAAACCTCAGCATTTGGCATTCTTTGCCTTTGTTTTAAGGAACATAACGCAAAGAGGGAATTCAAAGCCCTAGAGGTAAGGTGGGCCTTCCTTACGATCTGGATTTTCACCAGTGATAAACCTGGTTAAACTATGCGTGTCCATGTTGCTAGAGCTATATATTTATTTGTTATTTATTGTTTTCTTTTTAAAGAGAAGCGTAGGGAATCCCTTGCGACTTACAATCAACCCACTGCCTACCATTGCACAGAAACACACACGGTTCAGGGTAATCATCTTCTTTCCATATACTCACCCTGTCCTCCTCCCATGGAAGAAGAGGGGGTGAATTCAAAATGAATATACGTTATTTGTGCCTGCAGGATTTTGAGGTCACAACTTGAATGCTGTGCATAATTTCCATGGGTGCAATTGGATCTTATCTGCAGAACTTTTAGCCGGCAATGGCTTCTCCGTGGCTTGAAAATCTCTGTTGGATAAGTCCCACCAGGGAGATAAAATTAGCTTTGTTGCCCAGATAGAAAGAGGTTTAGCTATTTTTAAAATGAGGGTAAATAGCTCAGGGGTGAATCAGATGCTTTGCCTGCAGCAGGTTCCAGGTTGAACCCAGCTACGGAGAGCACTGAGAAAGGTCCTTGCTCAACAAAGACTCAGGAGAACAATTGCCGGGAAGCTGTGTTACATGGGCCAGGGGTTTGGCCTTGGATAATCTGGCTTCTGATGCTCCTTTGAAAGAAGGTAGGAATATCCAAAGTAAAATGGTTGGGAATTGAGCAGAGGGATTTTATGGAGGATATTAGGCAATGGCAGACGCGCCTAAATGATGCCAATGAGAGGAAAAATCTTTCAGCTCCACAGTTGCCACCAAAAGATAACAGAGACTGAGAAGGAGAGCTGCTGGACTATTCTAAGGGCTTGCTTCGTAGCATATAAATTCCCATGACCTATATTTTTATATCCTCCTTCCATACGCTGCTAATAGACTCTCTTTGTACTGGTGAGCTTAAGGAAATTGATCTAACTATTACATCTTAAATGACTTCCTTCTGTACTAATCTGATTTTCTAACTGAAGAAAACTGTTTTACAATTAAAGCTGCTGCTAAGGAGAATGAAGAAATTGGTAGCAGCACTTAGCGGTTTCCAGAGAACCTTCATTTTCTCACTTGCTTTGTGTATATGGAATTGGAATATTTTATGGTTGTAGAACATTTACATGATTTCAAGCGGTCTTTTTTTTTCCAACAAGAAAGACGATTTCGAAATCTTAAAAGACCTTCCTGCCGATCCAGGCAGGATGAAATTACACTGAAGCCTTGTTAAAATCAATGCACTAATAATGTTCTTAGATTTCTGCCCTCCTTCAGGACTGCTTTGTTGGGTGGGTGACAAACACTAGAAGAATGGCCAAACACTGTCCTGCTTACAACTATAACTTGGATGGCTACTTTCTGTTTAACTGCCTACTATTGAATTTTAATTTTTTTAATCATTTTTATTAAAAGTTTTACAAAGGATATAAAAATGAACAACTAATACAAATAAAAAGAGGAAAAGGTAGACAAAAAAAGACAAAAAGGCGGAAAGAAAGAATAATTTTTTTTTTTTTTATGTGCAGGCCTTTTCCAAGTCTTTTCCATGCACTTTATCCTAAAGCAGGGCTGTCAAACTCCTGGCTGGCAGGCCAAATGTGTCACGTGCTGGCCACACCCACGCTTGGTTTAGCAAAGGGGGGGGTGAAATTTCCGATACGTCACATGATGCCACCATGACACCGTGAGTTTGACACCCCTGTCCTAAAGGAAAACAGAGCTAACCCCACAAGAAATGTTGACAGGCTGTGGACAATTTAGAGTTTCTTTAGGACAGTGATTTTCAAATGTTTTCAGTCCACATTATAGGACCTATTAGTTAAAAAAAATCCCAGGATCCTTATCAAGAGAGAGTTCCGGTGATAGAAAACTGGCTGCATGAGAGGGAACCTTTTTATTTTTGCCCTTAGACTCTCACATAACCCTATCAAGTTTTCATAAAACTCTAGGCTTCCATGGGATGCAGTTTTTAAAACCCTGATTTAGATACTTGTAGGTTTGGGTTCACTATAATCTCTGTATCTGCTCTCTCTCTCTCCATCTCTAAATCTCTAAATATAATCTGTATTTTATTCAGCAACCAAGGTATACTATCTATAATGCAGAACAGCTTTCAAGATTCTTTTGAAAAAATAGTGAAGAAAGAGGAAACAAAAAAGTGTTGATTTAAAAGCAAACTGAGGGGGTAAAGAGATTCCCACTGGTTTTCTGGACTGGAAAAATGAACTTTATAAGACAGAGCCTTCTTTTCCAATAGTGAAATTCTTTTCTCTCCCTCCCCCTTCTCCCAATTAAGCTCTATTTCTGTTCTTAAAGCAAATAGAGCAGGGATAGCTCTGATGGATTAAGCTGAAGAGGTTTCCCCAGCTTCAGGAAGCGGTGTTAACGAAGGTGATTCCCTTGTTCAAATGGGTTTTTGAAATATTGTTGAGGTTCTGGTAGTGCCGTTTAGAAAACAATATTCCTTTTGTTTCCGTCCATTAACTTCTAAAGCAAAAGCTTTCTGAAGTGCTCTGCTAAAACCACCATCTCAGACTTCTCTGCAACTAAGAAGTCTGTCTTAAACATTAAAATATGTCTAAAATGTTACCTAATTGATTTACTACTGCATTCCTTTTGCACATGATTTGCATCCAGCCATTTTAAGCAAAACAATAGTTGTGTTAAGCATCTGTGACACTGCCTTGTGTCTTATGACATGTAATTCCAATAGCTACAGCTGTTTTGTTTTAACCAGGCCACAACCATGGTGCCTTAATTCAAAAACTGGTTGACCATTACCTCCCACATGTCTACTGCTTCCCTCACTTTGCAGGGCAATTGGTTTATACTGCAAGCTTGTGGGGTTTTTTTGTTGTTGCAAAGTGTATGGATTCGGAATGTTTTGGTTGCCATCATCTTTCTTTGTCAAAGTTCGTACCTTCATGGAAGAGATTAGAAAACTAGAAATTGAATAGGATAGAAATAGAATAGAATAGAATAGAATAGAATAGAATAGAATAGAATAGAAATCTATGGTGCATGATGAGCATGTGCACCATAGCACCTTCATAAAGAGGCTGTTATTTCAGTCTGTAATACATCAGACCTGGAGATTGACCGTATCATGTGATGAGTAACATCAGTAGGTCAGCCATGTAGTTGGAACAGTTCCTTCTAGTGAAACTACGATAATGGCTCTGTTTGTAAATTGCCCTGACAATGTACAAAACTCTTTATGTTGAGATAGTATGGAATTGTCGCTTAAAAGTTCTTAGGATCTAAGTTCAAACTCCCATGTAGCCCCAAAGTTCACTGGGTGTGAATTGAAATCTCTTCATATCTTTATCTAATAGGCTGCTTGTCACTTACTTTAAGGAAAAATTGAATTTAAATTAATCAATGCAAAAATTACATAATTCTCGTCTACATAACTCTTCCTTTTTTATTAGCACACACTCTTCATAATCTTGATTGGTGCCAACTAATGTGTTGCATCCATTGATTTGGCACTGTTACATACTAAGCAGTGTTTAATAATGACAACTGGCACACAGTGGAATATAGGATCCTGCATGATTCCAATCTAAGGCATCATCCTGTCTGCTTGAAAATTGAGAGATTCTTCATGGCATCTCTTTACAGTTCTTACACGGTTTCTTTTCAGGGTCCCAATGCCTTTCTTTTGGGCAGAAAAGTGTGATAAAGTAATAATATTTTGTATCAGCATTTTAAAATCATTTTTACTGAGATGAGGCCAAAAGCCACATGGAACTCTGTTCAGCATGACAGTATTTGCAGGGCCTCTCATGACTCTCATCACTGCACATCTAACATGATGTTCACATTTAAGATATCCTGAAAGACCTACAAACAGAAGATGAGCTTATGTTTGGAAAGCAAGTTCACCTTCCAAGCAACCCAAAGCATTTCATTGCCTGGACACTAACTTCCTGTTTTCGAGAAGCTGTTTCTTGTCTGACGATTTTGTAAATGTTGGGAGCCTGTATATAAAGAGCAAATGTTGAGACTGGTTTTCAGAAGTATTGTTGGTTGTACCTTTTTAAAAGATGCTAAAATCCAAAGATTCTTGTAATGAAGTGTAAAGTTTGTAATGCTCTCTCTTGTATTATATACTAAACTTGTAATATTGTACCATATCTGTGACAAATGTTACCTAAATAAAATACTTTCCTTCTGTCAAGCTCGTTCCTGTATTTCAATGTTCCATTCCCTGATGTAGGGTCTGTCTAAGTTAGGATTTCTCTCCAAATTTCAGTACCTAATACATTTCTTTAAAGCTCATGTGTCATTCCATTAATCTGACAAGAAAATGTTTAACCCTTTCACTAACTTGTATACTAAAAATATGTGCAATGTGTGCTTTCACAAAAAAAAAGTCACCATGCTATTCATCCTTCATGTTTTGTTCTTGATTTAATGAAATGTCCATTTGCTTTGCTTAGTTTTGAGAGTATGTCCAATAAGCTAGAAAGAGTAAATGGGTTTAGTGGGTGCATGTTTCCTCTGAATGTTTAGTGGGTCTCTTATCCAATCACTCCTAAATTAATTTAATCAATGACTTGAACGTTGTCAAAAATCTAGGAAGTTTGTATCTCCACCTCTATGCTAGTTAATTTTGAAATAATTTGCAAGAACGTGTCTCTGCAGGACTCAAACTAATTCTTTAGTGAGTTGTTTCTTTCATTATGCCTAACTGTTCATTCAAGCATATTTTTTGTCTTTTAATGACCCCATAATCCCTTACATCAGGGTGGAGTTGGGGCAACTGAATGGAGCAGTGTTTACTGGATGGATGCCCTTCCTATCGCCAATGCAGAGTTTGTAGCAGATTCATTGTGCCCAGAGAGAGAAATATCTGCTGCTACCTAGAATCAAATTCAAAACCTCCTGATTGTGAGGTGTGAGCTCCATCTCTAGGCCACTGCACCACTCATTTGTTCATTCAAGCATGATTTTGTGTGTGTGTATGTATGTATGTACGTATGTATGTATGTACCCTGTTTCTCCAACAATACGGCCTCCCCCAATAGGAAGTCCCAGCATGTTTTATAGGCATGAAATGAAATTAAGCTCCTCCCCCCAAATTAAGGCCTATATTAAAACATGTGAAATGGGGGGGGAAATGGCAGGGGAGCTTGCTGTTAGGAAGTACTTTTGTTGCACACCCGGATATGGTGCTGCCTGCGTTGACCCTGATACAAAGTGCCCCACCAACGCCGAGGTCAACATCCAAGCCATCGCCACCCGCCCTAAGATGTAATGGGGGGGAATTAAGTCACCCCCGAAAAGACGGCCTAGCCGTTTTTTTCGGGGCTCAAAAAAAAAAAAAAAGACCCGGCCTTATTATATGAGAAACATGGTGTGTAAAAATAGTATGAGACTTCCAGGATTTCTACCCTATATCTCTTCTCCATGTCCATCTTCTTTATATAAAAATATTATTGAATTAGAATTAGGAATTAGATTTTTTAAAAATATTATTGCAATTATTTCCCAGTCCTAGCTACAGAGGCAAGTCTTAGGGACCAATTCCATCTTTATGTTAAAATAGCATCAATTCCATATTGAAAATTATTTTTTAAAATCTCTTTCAAGGGGTAACATCTGGAATTTTCCCCTCTACTTGGTCCTAGGTTTTGTCAAACTACTGAACATATCTCCTTAAAAGTTTATAAATCAGCTACATTTGCTAAGAGTAACCGTATAATATACATCATTGTAATATCTCACAACACAGGGCATCTAATGCTCAGTTCTGCAGTTCTCCATAAATACTTCGATGCTGACTAGATGGAGCAACTGTCTCATACAATATAAAGCTTTCCTACATGTTTACACCAGAGTTTGTTTTGTATGGTGAATCTAGGGCAGCTTCTAATCAGTGGTGGGATTCAAAAAAAATTATTACCGTTCTGTTGGCATGGCTTGGTGGGCATGGCTTGGTGAGTGTAGCAGGGGAAGGATACTGCAAAATCCCCATTCCCTCACTACCCCACTAACCTGCTTTCCAGCTCCATTCTCCTGTGCAGGGCAACAAAAGAAGACCCAATCACCTGGGACTCAGGAAGCAGAGAATAGATAGGGGTGGGGGCAGTCAGAGGTGGTATTTGCAGGTTCTCCGAACTACTCAAAATTTCCTCTACCAGTTCTCCAGAACTGGTCAGAACCTGCTGAATACCACCTCTGCTTTTAACAACCTGCAAGCAGAATACTGGGGCCAGCCATGACTTCTGGCTATGAGACTAGAATAGAGAAGGCTGACTATAGATTTTTCTTCAACAAACTAAAGCTTACAGCTACCTCTTCACCTTTCACAAATTGCTGAAATCCTGCCTACCGCATGGTTGGGCTCACCATCATATCGCAGTCTTATCTTTTTTGATATAGGACCCATAGAAATGATTGATATATAAAACCTTATAATAAACAATCTATCTGAATACTGTAGGCCCATGTATTCTATTTATTTAATTTTGTCAAGCCTGCATTTGATAATATATATAAGTATAGACATGATTATTAATACATGAAATAGATACGAATAAAAGGGAACATTAAGACAGGGACAGTAGGCACGTTGGTGAGTTTATGTACGCCCCTTATAGACCTCTTAGGAATGGGGTGAGGTCAACAGTAGACAGTATGAGGTTAAAGTTTTGGGGTTAGTGGAAGAAACCACAGAGTCAGGTAGAGTATTCCAGGCATTGACCACTCTGTTGCTGAAGTCATATTTCCTGCAATCGAGTTTTGTGCGGTTTACCGAGTTTGTATCTATTGTGTGCTCATGTATTGTGAGGTTGAAGCTGAAGTAGTCATTGACAGGTAGGACATTGTAATGGATAAGTTTATGTACTACGCTTAGGTCAGACCGAAGGTGGCATAGTTCTAAATTATCTAAGCCTAAAATTTCATGTCTGGAGGCATATTGCGAGTAGAGGAGTGGAGGACTCTTCTCATGTAATATTTCTGGACTCACTTGATTGTATTAATGTCCGATATGCAGTGCGGATTCCAGACAGATGAGCTGTATTCAAGAATTGGTCTAACAAATGTTTTGTTTGCTCTAGTTAGTACATTATTACCGGAGATAAAGCTCTGCAGGATTAGATTAACAACTCTTAATGTCTTTTTGCCAATGTTGTTTCAGTGGACTTAGATCATCAGAGATGAGAACTCCAAGGTCCTTGACAGAGTGAGAGTCTTCTGCCAAAGAGGTGGCCAACCAGGCTCTAGCTAGAAGAAAATCTCCTTGGTGTGACTTTGTGTTTTGCCTTGTATAAAAGCAGAGTATCTTGGGGAAAAAAGACATCAAAGCAAGGTTGTGTTTTTTTCAGTTATACATTTTAATTTTCTAGTAGGTACAATACTAAAATAAACACAAATTAAAAAAAGTTTATTAAAACAAAACTGTACAAAAAAGCAGTTATACTACAATTTAATTACAGAACAGTCTACTGTCCAAAAAGGCACTAATAATCCAGAATAGGAGATACAATGATACAGGACTCATTTGTTTTTAAGCTAGTTTTTAATCAATACAATAGAGCACTTGTTTCTTTCCCCATTCACATACAGAAACAAGGACTTCTTCCACAGTCAGTACACACTGGTATAAATATGAGCCCTACTTAGAAAGATGTAGTGTCTCTCTCACCCCTGGAAGAAATGGTAAGGGTCAACAGTATGAGGCAATGTAGCTTTAAAAGGAGAGAAAAGGTTTCCACCTGCAATGAAGAACCATGGGAAACTAAATGGGAAATCAGTCAGGAAAATGTCAATGTACAAAAGGCTCTCATATCTTTGAATAAGAGTTTATACGTAACTTCTTTTTGAAGCTGAGGGAAAAAATTCTCAACAAAAGTTACACTAGAAAAAATGTTTTGGAATTTAACATTCTGCATGTTTTGGAATTTAACATTCTGCATATGTATTGAGAACAGGACAGTTCTCAATACTCCCACATGGTCTTTCTAAGGAGTAAGAAAGCCTCTTGCATTTTCTATTTTGTATTTCATCGTAGTCTGTTTTGCAGATTTCAGAGGAACATCAGTCCTGGTTTCTAGCCTGACCAAGTTGTATTTATATCAACAAGACTGTGAGGTTATTAACCTTTTTGAAATTCAAATATACTTCAGAGGCAAAGAGGACAGATGCAGGTTTGTGGGAACTTGGCTTACGCTTTTCAAAGAAGAAATAAGTCCCTTGACAGATTAAATTAACTGATAAACAAGTGGCAGTTCCACTAATATCCTTCCAAAGAGGGAAGTAACATAAAAACTGAGAAACATTAATCAGATATGAGATAATTCTAATTTTTTTCTCTCGTCACTCTACAATATATATTTTTTTACAAAATATCTTCCTATTTAGATTACTTGCTTTTTAAAAAATGATAGAATGGTTATAGGATTGCCAAAAAAATATGCACAAGATAACTTTGGGCACTTAAGACCATCCTACTTTTGTTCAGATCATGGCTACACTAGTATGGCCTTTCAGTTTTCAATTGAGCAATAACCTCAACCTGGCTAAACGCCTTTTCCCTCAATTCCTGGGCTCGTGCTTAGGAATTTCAAGTCTGTCTGATTGACAATGATTTTTTTTCCTTGCAGAAATGCCTTCACAAAGATATTCGGGATCTCAAACCAAAGACCGCCAAAAGTCTTGACCAACTTTAGCTAAGTACTAAAGGTTGCTTCAGGGAAATAGAAATCCACTGACAAGGTTCAACAACTTTGGAAGCAACTATGCCAAGTCCCAACAAAGCACAGGTTGACATTGCTAAATGCAGTGAGTTATCAAACTTTTGAGAGTTTCTATATCTCTGCAAAACTAGTGGCAGCGTATACTCTGGCAATGGACCATTGGGGGGGGGGTTTAAGCGGGACAGGGGGAAGAAGAGAGAGACTGCAGCTTTTTCAAAAACTGTGTCATACATAGAGAAGATAGAGACAGAGAGATGAATGTTAAGAAAAATAAGTAGCAAAAGAAATTTGATTAAAAAAAATTCTCTCACATCCTATACTACATCCTCCTTCTGCTTAGCAGAAAATTGTACGTACACAAAAATACAAATACACAATTTTGTAGAACAGTCTGATTTTAATATATTTATATATATTTATATTTATATGAGTGGCAGGTTAATTTATTATATGGAGCTTTTTGCACTTTTGGCTCATATGCAACAAGGCTTATAAATTCAGCTTTAGCTTTTCATTCAGGTTTTTATTTTTTATTTTTTTCTTCTTCTTTATATAGCTTTTTAAAACAATTGTTTTATTTTATTTTTTCACATTTAAAGCAGCATCCAATCTGCAATAAGAACTGGTGGCAACAGCAAGGGGGCTGGAGAAGTAGGGAGACAGATAGACAAGTCCAGTGTTGTTTGTGTGTGTTATCTATGCATATGTCAAAAAGGACGCTGAAATAAAAGGGATTGTGGCTGCAAGACAGGGAGACACAGAATTACCTCTTGAGGTAGGCTGAACTCAGTTATGGCAGGCCAAAACAACACCAGGCAAAGTGTCGGAGTGCCGCCACAGTAGTGGATCAGAAAGGAACATGAGGAGAAAAGAGACGGGCAGTCCTGGAATGGAAGTTAGAAAATGCACAAACTTGGCTTGCCCACAAGCTACAGCAACCTGCAATTGATTAAACTGTGATGTATTTCAGCTCATATACAAGCTCAGAATGGAAGGAGGAAATAAACCTTGTCCCCCCTTACCCTCTTATGCCAAGCATATCCATTCCCAATTCCCTAGTATAATGTTTTAATGCCTTCTCTCCCCATTACCTCAAAACAATGTTCTGGAATGAAAGATAACAGGTTTCTTCCCACACTGCTGGTTGCTTTCAATGCAGGAATCCAGCCAATGTAGAGATGAAATGTACTAATTGGGGGAAAGGGAAGGAAGCTCAGACCTTTTTCACATTCGTAAAAGATTGCTGGGAATAATAGTTCATCACTTCTCTTCTGCACGTAACAGGAAATGCAGATGAGAAGTACACAATGCAGCCTTCCAACAAGGTGGCACTTTTTTTGCAGAGGAGAATAAGAAGAGGAAGGAGGTGGACATGGACTTGCTGCAGCACTTTCCTACAGCAATTCTCTTGTTAGGCTCTCTCATTATGGCCGCTCCAAGATTGTAAAACAGTCAGGCAAGTGGTCAACAGTTGTGTTGGATTACAATTCCAATGATTCCCAGCCCACAGAGTCAAATGGGGGGGGGGGGGGGGGGGGGGAGAGAGAGAAAGAAAGAAAAGCAACTATGGTTGCTGTCCAGTTTGTTCCAGAAGGTAATTCACATTCTAGGCTGCCATGTCCTCCCATATCAGAAGGGCAAACACAGGCAAGACCACTGTCTCCCACATAAAACCAGGTTCAGCTATCACATTAGGCACTTTTATAATTGGATATTAAACTTGGGGAAACAATCAATGTTGACACAACGATTCTGAGCAATCCTCAGAAACCAGGGAAACGGCTCAGTGCCACCTGCTATGGAAGTTAGCTCTTTCATTCACAGCAAATGGACCACAGAACTCAACTGCTGAAAGTCTGTTTCCAAAGCTAGCCTTGTTTTGAACATGGGAGGGTGGTAAATGGCCTTGCCCATTTAGACATGAACTTCTAGGGAATAAAGCTATTGCTCCCCTTCAACAACATCACAAAGCAAGGCAGATAAACCAGGGGTATCAAGCTCGATTTCATTGAGGGCTGCCTCAGGATTGTGTTTGACCTTGGGGGCCAGGGGGAGGGGCGTGGCTGGAATGGGCATGGCCAGCTCAACATCACTTGTTGAGGCCCTGTTGCAGCTGAAAACAGAGTCTGGGAGGGCTGCGCGCAGCTCTGTTTTCCCTGGCAGAAGCACCGCGGGCCGGTCCTTCTGTTTCTAGGGCAGCCCCATGGGCCAGATCTAAGCACCCTGTGGGCCAAATCTAAGCACTCTGTGGGCCGGATTCGGCCCACAGGCCTTGAGTTTGACACCCCTTCTGTAGTTAAATTGCATTTCAACTCTTATGGAGCTCTGTTGTGCTAAGCTGGAAAATAGAGAAATTGACATCCAACACAACTGGAATTATGATAAAGTTAAGGGGCTTGGCTTTTTTTATCAAAATAGGAATTTTCTTAAATACCCTCTTGAGACCCACATAGAACATTGGAGTTCTTCTCAGAATTATCTAAATTACAGAACATGTTGATCTTAGGAAGACAATTGGGTATGATTATCCACAACGAAAGTTGCAAGAAGTTATGGAATTGACAACCAACAAAAGAACTGGGCTTCCCTATACTGGAACACTCTCATACCAACAAGCGTTTCCTATCAAGAAATCAACTTATCAACTGAATCACATTTTGATCACAAGCTTCCTATGTATCTAGAGAAATGGCTATTGTTAGTTTCACACAGAGCAAGTAACAAATCACTAGAAGAAATATTTTTCCCGGACAACAGATGCTACCAGCATTTTGCACTGTTTTCTCTAGCTGGCTGACTGACTTAAATTGCTTCCACAGTTCAATATATTTTGCTCAGTGATCAAAGGCTGAAACTCATAATCGTTATGAATACTCCACGTTCAGAGGCAATATACTACTGAATGCCAGTTGCTAAGGGACTCACAACATAGTAGGAACAGAAAAATTAGTTTGTTTGCAATTTCAGTTAATACAAGCGTGGGAGGAAACTGTTCCATTGGAAGAAAGCTGATGTTACTCATAGAAGCTGCAACTAAAATTTTATCAAGGGAGTCTTTTCAGGAGGGTTGATGTCAACTACAAGCACAAGGAAATCCACTTATTGCCTTAAAATCTTTCCAGTTCAGGACACTGAAAAGAAGAGTAAATAGTATAGAGTGTTAAAAACCAGTGACACTATTTAATTAGGAAGCCCTTTTTAAAAACATTTGCTTCTAGTAAGAAATCTCTCATGTACTTGTACTAATAGTTTTCCAACAAGTTTGGATTTCTCCAATACCATGTCTATGACTAAGAAGAATGAATGAATAGAAAGCAAAGTAACATTTATAATATAGACAGGTGCAGGATGCACAATATGAAATGGGGAGGGCGGGCAGGTGATGTAGAATATTGTTGTTCAATTAGAGCTCTCTTCATGTGTCTTGACTCACAAAGTCCAAAGTTCACAGTTAGGATTCTGACTGGAAATCATGGGATTGTGGTCCTCATATTTGGGGGCAGCATCATATTGTAGATGGCTAGTCTATCAAAATCATATCTCAAACATTACATCATTGGAGTCTGAAACCAATCTCAAAACTCTGCCTCTACATCTAAGACTATAGAAGGTAGAACTGGGTATCTTGGACACTAAAGAATTGAGAACTCGTCTTTCAGTTGCAGCAATATTATAGTGATTTCACAGAACCTGGCAATTTCATAGTATTGAAAATATCCCAAGGCTATACCACTCATCAGTTATTGAGAAAATATAATTCAGATTGTAAGCGGGCAGCAAGCTGAGAATTCAGACACAATTAAGGGATGCTTATAGATCAAACTGCTTAAGATGATTCACAAACCATACTTGCTCATGGAGCAAGTGAGATATTCTAATCTATTCTATTGGTATTCCCCAATTCCTCAACTATACATAATGTAGGTCAGACACCAAATGGATTGTGTTGAAAGATCAGAATGCTATATACAAAGCACAGATAAAAGCTTTTATCAGAGACCTCATCTTGGAAAGGCTTTTTGGAAAGTCAAAGAAAAAAAAAACACAGTTTGAGGGGTTCTGAACATCCAAAGCAACAGAGGATCCCAACAAAGAATAAGAAAACCCAGTCACAGTTTAATTGTTAGTAACAAGAAACTTAACCCCTGAATTCAGATAAAATGAAAGAGCACTAAAATGTGGTAAGAATCTGTAACTTGACAAACTTGGATCCAAATGTTTTTGTCCTTTGAACAAAGCTTTTATCTTATCTAAATTGGTCTTCTATAGTTTACTGTTTCATGATACATTTCTTGCCGAGATCCTCTTTTTAAAGATTCAAGATCTCTTAACACATCCACAGTTCTTCTTGAATTAAGGTAATTATAGGCTACCTATATTGCCCTAATGTTTTAACAAGTTCAGCCAGCATACTGAAATCTTGTTATTGCTTCCTGTTCCTTATTTGTATGTGCAATATATAAACAGGGCTGAATCCAATAACTGTTTACCATAATTGAAAAGTGCTTCAGGCCAAGCCACGAAGACTTACAGCCCTTTCAGGATACCGTACTACTAGATAAGCAGGGAACAGCTATAAGTTAATAGGAGAGACTGACTAAAAATGAATGATATAATTTGCAATGGATGGCTTATTCAAGAATCCTGCTACTTCTGTTCTTACTGAAACTAGCTGTTAGTGTCCTGCTAAAACTACATACAAAGAAAGAATAAAACCTCAGCGAACAGCAGTGCCAAAACAGTAATGGGAAGCTCAGTGGCAAAAACCATGATGACTTCATTACATCAATGCTTCTCAGTTTAGGATATTACCATTATAGCAATGAGAATATAAAATTCTGCTGCAGTAGCTATATTTTACCAGGTCATTTAGCCCACAAAACAAAGTTGTTTCACTTCTTTGTTACCTGCCACAGAGAGACACATTTGCTTGTAAATGTCACAAGAAGAAATTCTCTCTGCAGCTACCAAACAACTCTTACATTTTTCCCTGAGTCTAAGGTCAAAACTCCTCCTGGAGTTTACCTGCTCTCAATAGACAAACAAGACAGACAACAACAATCTGCTTCTGCTTTAGTGATCAACAATTGATTTTTTAAAAAAATTACATATAATATAGCCAATGAAATATGCAAGCTGGAACAGCAAAATACCAGCAAAGCTCCAACATTTTAATTGGAATCAAATGGCTCTGATGAGAAACCATCATCAAGGATCCTGATGGAGAAAGTGTGTGATGGAGATGCCGCGTTTCCCTGAAAATAAGACCCAGAAAATAAGCCCTAGCATGATTTTTCAGGATGCTTGTAATATAAGCCCCACCCCCAAAATAAGTCCCAGGTAAGATAGTCAGCCATACAGACGCATTTAGTACCTCATTTCCCTGAAAATAAGACTTAATTAGAAAATAAGCCCAACTGTGGTTGGGCTCTTTTGGAGCAAAAATTAATATATAACCCGGTCTTATTTTCAAGGAAACATGGTAGTAACTAGTCCCTGCCCTAGATCCATTAAGGAAATAGAGGACATATGTAAAAGGGTTCCAGCTCAGCCCTTAGTAATTATACTCAGAAAGATCAGTTGATGGGAAAGATATTTCTTTACTTCAGAGTCGATGAGTAAGTCACACTAAGCTTACCTAGCTAGTCTGGCCAGCATAAGGAAGCATTCACTATTCTTAAGCAGAGGTCAAACAGTAGAGAGCTGCTCCAGCCCCTTGAAAAGATGGTATTTTATTTTTCCTTATGGTCAATCACTTTTTCAAAATGTATTCATATCAACCTATCAATTCTGCCTAATTATATAGCTCCTATGTATGCAGTTACTGGAGCTAGTAGGTATCATACTACACGAAGCAAAAGCATCTTGGCAGATACTCCCTCTTTATGACTTCTTTAATGATTTCTGAGCATTCAAGATATATGCAAAAAAAGGAGAAATCATGACTACAAATAAAGTACTAGACCAGAGAATAGAAGAACTGTCTACTCAACTCCCCATACCAAAATGAGCAAAGGGTCTGTCAAATTCAGGAACAGCGTGACACATTCCTACATTCTGAAGATTTTAAGCTTTGGCCATTCTTCTACAAATGTCTATCATCTGCCTTGACAAAGCACAGATGGGAACAAGGCCACAGATAAACCACATTTCCAAATGTTGGGCCTGTGGCCCCAGCAGGGACTATATCATGGGACTGTCAGCATGTCAGTTTCGTTCTGAAGTATACTAGTCGTTCACTGATGCACAGGCAGCTCAAAGGGCACAATGAATGGAGAAGAATTTCTGTGAACATTGCAATAAGGTGAAGGTAAAAAGCACACAAGAGGAAAACCACATGCTTACGGTCACTAAAAATTACATCTTCGGTTACAGGAATGCTTTTCAATCACCTCCCCCACCTTCCTTCATTTCAAAACATCTTGCTCAGGAGAATCACCTGGTGCTATTCAGCCAGGTCCATTTCATCAGAGATGTTCCTCATGGACTATGTTCCAGATTTATTATTGGATGACTGTAACATGAGGTTATAGCGTGTTATTGTTGATTTATCCAATGATATTTATTTATTTTTTAAAATGCTCAAATATATGAAAAAAAATACCAAAGTGCTACATATGATCAAGATAAATGAACCAAAAAAAACCCTCAAATTTGATTTTTTTTTTTTGCTATATAGAAGTAGATTCATCTCACATTCCATCAGTATTTAATCATTAATTCTAATTTCCTAGATAGCCAATATCTGAACCCAATCTCAGATTGCACTAACAATAGGAAAGTAAAAAAATAAACCTGCTTCCCAGGAGCACAAGAGCCACTAAATCCTTGGCTCATGGCAACATCTAGTTCCTCCTGTAATATGGCTTCCAAGAATTTGTTAACCTGCTCAAACAGGTACAGCTTTCCAGCTGCTGAAGAAGAACAGAAGAGACACAAAGAATGTGTGGCTAGTTCAGAGAAGTAAAAAATACCATCATGATGTGATATCTTGAAGAGCCAACACCACAGACAATAGATAGGGATCACTGCACTCTCTACTATCCAAATAATGAAAATTTACATGTATGCATATTTTCTGTAACTCTAGTGAGGAGGGATACTAGGAGTTACTTCTTAATTCTTCCCTAGAGTGCACCATACTTTGGAGACAAGGGGTTGAAAGGAAGTAAACAATTACCAACTGTTCAATCCAAGTTATCTTCAAGTTCTGATTACAGGCTGAACTGGAAAGCTACTTCACATGTTTCATCACAGAATGTGTGTCTGTGTGTTCACGCACATGCATGCGTGCGTGTGTAACGATAACTTATCCACTTCCATCAATGCTCATCCTTATCTTTGTATATAAATCATGTCTTTTCCAAGAGTAGGTATTCTTCATGGGGGTGTCTGAGAGTATAATTGTATCTTATGTGGGTTTAAATGTTAATGAACTCGGTGGGGCTCATTTGTGACTGAACTGATAAAAGAATTGTGAATGATCCAATCACACTTACATCATTCCTTAGGCCCCATCAGCCTTAGTGACCACTTATTGGAAGGAACACAACCACAGTGGGTCTCATTCAGAGACATATAAGAGAGATTCTTCTATAGATGGAAACTTTGGCCTAACTGGGAAAACTTAAGAATTGAGGGGGGAAATGCTTTGTTCCTCCCATAACACAACTTGCAAAGAAAAGAGGAAGGTTATGTTGATCACGTCAGCAGCAAACATCAATCAAAACAAGCTGGTGGACTTTCCCCTTCTCCTTCCCAACCAGCCAGGACCTTTGGAAAACAGTACAAATCCTATGGAAAAGCAGTAAGGATTATATTGCTGCCCTGCTAAGAGAGGCCCAGCTTATTGGCACCTGGTAACAAGACGTTTACAACAGATCTGAGCTTCATCATAATCCCGTTCTCTGTCCACACTCTCAACCCATTTTCCTTTAAACCACTGAATCTCCATTGTCTCCTTTTGGTTTTGTAACAAAAACAAGAGGAAATAAAAAAAAATGTTAACACCCGGAAGTCTGAAGGATAATCCAAGTTTGTATTGTTGTTTTTCTACAGATTTAGCCTAAGGCTTGGAATCGAGGGCTGCCTACGACACCTGGAAGCACGTTCATGGAATGCTAAAGACAGAGCAGCAAAGGTTTTTATCTAGCTGAGGGGGGAGCAGTGGGAGAGGGAGGTCAGTCGGCTTGGTTAATTATCTGACTGGGAGTTAATACTGAGAGTTTATACGCAGAGTCAGAGGGCACCATGCCATCTTCACAGGACAAGACCCTAAACGGCAAACTTGACGTACAAGAGACTGCAAAGTTATATTGTAAAGAAGGACACATATTAGGGACCAGGAAAAAGGCTGCTAAGGTGCTACGTCTAAAACTAAGTTACTTTCTCATCTGGGAGCCCTCCCCCTCCATCGCGTCATCAGTCATCATCCAGGGCCTCTGTTTTGATCTCGCTGGTTCCTTGCCGGGCCAACGCCAGAATGGTGTGATTTACCGCTGCCATCTCCACGGCTAGTGAGATAGGGTCTTGGTGGTCGCTATGGCTAGTGTTGTCATCCTACATGAGCGGAGAAGGAGAAAGGAATGAGGAGGGAGGGAGAGGAACAAGTCTCATTAGCATCTTCAACAATCATTTCATCCAGTTTTAAAATATGTCTTATAAACAGTCCAATGTTTTCATTCAACGGGCTGGAAAAATGGGGATAAAGGGATTTATTTCAAAAGAACATATCACATGCTGAACAGGCATTGGCTGAAGGGAAAATGGGAAGGAGGAGAGAGGGAATTTGGAGAAAACCTCATAGTGGACAGATGAAAATGAAAAAGGAAAGGTGCCCAAAGCAGCTTCCAAGCCTCAAGTTATTATTAGGAGGCATAAACCAACCTACTAACCACCTGGAGAAAACCTATGGAAATAGGCCCTTGTCCTATATTTGGCCCTTGTCCTATATTTGCAAACAGAAACCTATACTTGAAAATGGGGCAATGATATGAAAACTAACTGTGCCATTTCCACAATTCAAATAATAGGGATGGCCATCAATGTTAGTTGACCTCATAATAACAATTTTTGTTTGGGTGTCTGTTAAAGTTGAAAAGTGACAGAAGAGTCAGGGAATAGGTGAGATGATTTGAAGTGGGCACCTGGAAACAGATTCTACAAGAACTCCAAATCTGTATAAATGTAGAAGCACAACCTTATTCCATCACTAACCTATTGTACCAACTGAAATGTAGAGATGCATTTTAGAGAAGTGTCTATTAGACAAGTAAATATGACTATATATTTATAGAAATTCATTGACTAATGGGGGCTTTTTCAATCAGAGAAAGACCTAGCAGCAGAAGTTTTCTGTTTATGTCCCAAAGGTGCTTTTTCAAGAGGCAACTGGGCTTTCTTGGTTTTTCTTTGCAGATATTTTGCTTCTCATCCAAGAAGCTTCTGACTGGATGGTTAGGAATGGAAGGATTTATACTCCTTGCAGACAGCTGTATAACTCCTTCCATTCCCCACCATCCAGTCAGAGCTGAAAAAGTTTTTTGGATGAGAAGCAAAATGTCTTCAAAGAAAAACCAGAAAGTCCAGTTGCCTCTTGAAAAAAGCACCTTTGGGACCACCATGACCTGGATGACTAAGAATCTCCATAGATATATCTATTTTTGTGTTTGTATATGAGGCAGAGGGAAAAAATAGGGAGGGCAAAAGGATCTAACAAACTAGTACATGTACTGTTGGCTGCTCCTATACCATTGTTATTACTTAACAGTCCAAACTCTTTCACTAGATTTTATAAAGCTCCAGAAAACAACTTCCACTTGCAATCCCTTCTATTTCACCCCACTCCTCATTTCTCTTGCCTTTTGTTAACCTGCAACAAACATTACAAGAGAAAAGAGGAAGAAATAATTAGAATTCTTTCTTTCTGAGTAGAATTTCTAGATATTCTTTTTTATTTTATTCCAGATTGTTGCTACCTAACTCTAGGATGCTACCCAGCATAGGATATTTACAAATCAAATCAAAATAAAATTAAGAAGATATGGGGAATTATCTTTTATTGTTTCTCAAGAAGACAATAGGAATAAGCTATGTACCTTGTTATACCTGTATACCTTGGAGGCTATAGTGAATCTCTCTTTTTGTTAAAAAAAATTACTGACAAGTCAAATCCTAATTTTGTTACCAAGCATAGGCTCAAGTGATGACCTGTTTTGTAATACATAAGCCTAAGTAAAAAGAAGATGCAAAAGTTATTTTCTTACAGATTTAAATAACCTCTTTTTCCAAACCAGACACTATCCAGATAAATGAGCTAGGAACGAATGCTGCAGTGGAAAGTTATGGGACTGGTAGCCCAACTTTGTTGGAAGCAGAGGGATTTGAATTACGCTGAGAAGCAGATGGCACTTATGGTTGGGGGGTGGCGTTTGCACAGACCCATCTTTTGTACCAGTGATGGCCATTCTGGGACCAAGAAGCCTTGCGCATAGTCAGTTATGCCCTGGTCACTTCCTTCTTGAATTACTACAACATAGTTTTTATATAGGGCTGCCTTTGAAGACCATTTGGAAACTGTAACTGGTCCAGAATGTGGCAATGTAGAGAGTTCTGGGCACCCTATGGTGTGCTGGTGGTAAACTGCGCCATAGAGCAGGCACCACAACTGAAAAAGACACGACTTCTGAGTCCTATAAGACAAAAGGGTCTAGAACAGGCCTGTCAAACTGGCAGCTATATAGACACTTCCTGGTTGGACTATGACATTGTGCTCTATCCTTGAAAAGTATTTGGAAGCTTGAACTAGTTCAGGATGTAGCGGCACACACAGTGTTGAGTGCAATGAGGTTACAAGGTAGACAGACTGAGCAACTAATGCCACGTAGATCAATACTTCTTTCACTATAATAGCTGTTGTAACAGAATTTTGCAAGTCTGAATGTGCTTCCCCCTCCCTTTCTTTATCTCTGTGTGCATGACAGGCTTGCCTGAGATGTTT